ACTGATCCGCTGAGAACACCGCGGGCAATTTGCACAGATCATTAATTTCAACTTTCCCGCGTTCGTTTCGCCCCAGACTCCATCGACGTGTAAAGTATTAATTTCGATCCATACCGGCGACCCAGAAAATTGAAATTCTGATCGCGAACGACTCGATCGGGGAAGAAAATGGAAGAGAATTTTGGGGATTTTTCAGTTCCGAAACTCGCAATTTAGGAATCTGTACGGCTTGAACGTTTTGATCCTGTATCTGGGGTATGTAATATAGCGAGTGAATCTGGAGATGAGCTTCAGGTGTCGGGGGATTCTGTGATGAGGTCTGTTGTGAAAAATAAAATGCATTTGTACAGTGCACCCCTTTTTGCGAGTGTATTGTGGGTGTTTGTTGTTTTGTTTATCGTTTGCTGTGGTTTCTTTCTTTATTCTATTTTGTAGTATATTTTATTGTATATTTTTATTTTACTTTATTAGCTACTATATATTTTTATTTCGTTCTATTCTATTCCATTATTTTATTTTATATTATTTTATAATCTATTATATACTTTTATTTGGTTTCATAATCTATTATGTATCTTTATTTTATTTTATAATGCATTATATACTTTTATTTTCTTTTCTTTTATTATATATTTTCATTTTATTTTTTATTATTTTATAATCTATTATATACTTTCATTTGATTTCATAATTTATTATGTATCTTTATTTTATTTTATAATGCACTATATACTTTTATTTTATTTTCTTTTATTATATATTTCCATTTTATTTTATATTATTTCCTAATCTGTTATTATATATACTTCAATTTTATTTCATAACCTATCATATATTTTTATTTTATCATGTAATTCACTATACACATTTCCATTTCACTTCATTTTATTCCGGTCTCCAATTCCTCAATGAACTCGGCACATAACGAATAGTCAAACAATCGAGAAAAATAGAAGTCCACGAAGAAAAACATCGATCATGAAAACTTCCTTCAGGATCCATGAGGATCGAGCAGGAGACGGAGTTACGTAATTTCCCGTGATGCCGTGGCAACTATGAAGCTCGCAGGCAACATTGTAGCCGGACGGTAATCGCATTGGTCGTTAATTCGTCGACGGTTTTGGAAATTCCGCTGTCCCCCGGTTTCGACGTGAATGGTTGCGATACGAATCACAATGGATCCTATCAAAGGGAATTATCAAAGCTGTGGAACGCGCCGCATGGCCGGCAAGGCGAAATTAATTCCTCCGGCTCGCCTTTATTTACAGGAACAGGAAGATCACGGGCTGCGTACCGAATTTGTTACAGATGTCGTGAACCTGATGAAAATCTGATCGATTCAGCATTGTATTTTTTGGGCAGCTGTAATCGTGGGATCTGTCCTGGTTCGATATAAATCAGACTCTAGGGTGGAGTCTGAATCTGGACTAATTTTGATTTCACTTTGGACTAGGATTAGTCTAGATTTAGTTAAGACTAAAGCAAATTCTATTTGGAGCTAGGCTGTGTTCTAGTTTGACTGAGCTCAACAATTGAATTTTAGTTAGATACAGCTAATTGGTTCGTTTCTAGACCTAATTTAGAAGTGGACTATATTGTTTCGTGTAAAGCTGGCTTGAGTGTAATTTGGTTGCTTTCTAAACTTAATTTAGAACTGGACAATATTCTTTTTGTACGGATCTAACTTGAATCTAATTTGATTACTTTCTAGAGCTAATTTAGAACTTAACCATATTATTTTCAAGTAGATTTAATCTAAGTCTAATTTGATTGCTTTCTCAATCTAATTTAAAACTGGACAATATTCTTTTTGTATGGACCTTATTTGAGTCTAATTTGATTACTGTCTAGACCTAATTTAGAACTAAACTATATTCTTTTTAAGTAAACCTAATGTGAGTCTAATTTTATTACTTTCTAGCTCTTAATTTAGAACTCAACCATATTTCTTTTAATTAGACCTAACTTAAATCTAATGTCATTGCTTCCTAGACCAAACTTAGAACTAAATTCTCAAGTGAACTAAACAACTCAATTCTACTTCCCCTTATTACTCAAATCCAAACTAAATCTCACCTAGACCCAGATCCAATCAACTCATTTACTACTAACTCACCGAAATCAAATCCTAATCAATACTAAATAATCAATCCACAGTTTACCCCAATATCCCTTCATACTTTCATACCCATACATTCGTACCGAACACTCTCCAAACATTATCCCAACTCGAGCATAAATCCCACTTAAAAGATCCATGGGGTATTTATTAAATCCACCCTATATAAAACCGAATATTCGTATCACGAAAAAAATCCATTCATCAAGAACTAGCTTCTCTATCCCGGGCGCAGCCGATCCCATCGAAATAAATCCCACTTCGACTCAGCTGTATCCTCGTTTTACTCTTCCCGAGCGTCTGCCATTAGGGGTGCCCAATTAATCCCATTAAAATGCACGCGGAATCCGATTCGCGAATGGCTCGTCGCGATACGGGGTTGAGCACATCTGCGCTGCCGGCGCAGGCACGCCGGCAGAGGGATGGTAGGGGTATCATCGAATCCTGAAATATTAAAATGTAGTGACGGGGGTGCGTACAATGTTACCCCTGCTAGATATCCAGAGGGGTGGAAACGACGGTAGCGGAAATACAGCAGATATTGAAAATGCCCCACCCCGGCTTCTTTACAATTCACCGTATCCTTTCGGGGATGGGGTTAGGCATTGCCGATAGGAGGAACAGCCAGGTATGAGCAGGAGGAGTTAGGGGGAAAAAAGGGAATTTCGGCCGCACAATATGGCAGATGATGGGAACGGGAATCGCGTGGCGCCTTATTCACGCTTTATCCAGTGGGGAGTCTATTAATAGGTTTCTAATGAGTAATCAAAGTTACGTATAATTAATATTTCGAGTTCTTCATTAGGTGTCACACAGGTGAAATAGAGGAGTCTATGGATTAATAGGTTATTGCAGTTGTATTTTGTTATTTATTTAGTGGAAGCCTATTAATAAGTTTCTAATGAGTAATCAAAGTTAAGTATAATTGATACTTTGTGTTCTGTTTTTTGTTTTGGTGGAGTTTGAAGTGTTGATTTAGATGGGTGTAATTATAAGGTGTCACGAAAGTGAAATAAAATATTCTGTGGTTTAATAGAATATCACAGTTTTATTTGGTTACTGAATAATTAAATTCATAAATTACATTTACTAATGAAAAAACGATAAAGATTAGTGAACTGGGAAATAGTATTAAGAGAATAAAATCTTATACAATTTCCAAGTCACAAATCTTTTTAGAGATTAAGATTACTAATAATTAAGAGGTCCAGTTTTCGCATGCAAAATAAATCATTCTTGATTCTCATTTTGCAATGTTCGACTGGAAGTTTTGTTTGATCGTAGTTCGATCAATTTCTCGTTACATCGATACGAAGTGACGTCTGGTTTAATGAACCGCGCGGCCCGCGCCGCGGCAAGTTCAAATATTGTTTGTCAAAGGACCGAACGGTTCGGTTTCCTACGCGGGGCGCATTTTAATTAATAGAGGAACGCGGCTGTTTTGCGACCGAAAGTCCGTCTGTCCGCGCAGAAATTTGCCCAATTTGTTGCGCTATTTGTTTGTGATGGCCCTGTTAATTGCTCGGGTTTCATTCTGATCCCTTCGCGGACTCCTATTGGCCCCGTGGATTCGTTTGAATTTTTCCGCTCGTACACTTCCTGTCCAGTTTATTGTTTTCTGGGATGCCATTCAGCTCTCATGAAAATCCGCTGTTAATTGGAAACTGCTTTCGCCTTTACAAAAATTCTGTAAACTTGCCACATTACCTACCGGCAATTATCGGGCGGTTTATTGAAAATGATTAATCAGTAAGGTTTTAACCGAAATTTCAATAGGAGTTCCATTTGCGATAATGAATGATCCAATTATCATGATGTAATGTAATTATTATTTGAAGAATATTGTTCGATGAAGATTGTTAGGATGTTTTCAATCTAAGATTATATGTTATTGAAAAGAAAAGAATATTATTAATTGATGTTAGATAGGTGAAGCATTAAGGGAACGTCATAGTATAATGTTTGAGTAACGAACTCTGGAACGTAACTTGTAAATGTAATTAATTCTGATGTTTTTCGTTTGTCTGGCCATGGTCCGCTGTTTCTACTTGCCGGCAACATACAAAGTTTTGGAATTCATTATACGGGAATTGGAGTGTTACACGTTTCATTTATGTTGAAATGTAAAATAATACTCTTAGTGACTGAAATATCAATTTGTAACTCATTATTTTACGAATTTCACTTTTACAACATTCGACAGAATTTAATTAGGTCAAATGAATTCAGTCGAGCTGAAATAATTTCACTGAAAATCATTTTTCTCGTTTTAAAGCCACATTTTCACGAGAGAATAACAATTCATTATCACCATAACAATAAATAACAATTGTCAAACTTCCCAAAAGAACAATTTTATAATTATTTCAAAAAATCTCAAATTCACTTCCGCACAAAATAATCATTCCAAAGAAACCAACGAATCACCCAAAACCCTCTGACAAACTAAACAATCACCAACAAATCTCCCGAAACAATCAACAAATCACCAATCAACAAACAACAACAAACTCCTGAATAACTCTTCCTCAATTCGCAAAACAATTATCCCCAAAGAATCATCAACATCCCCCAAGCCACATCACCGAGGACGAACGTCGAAAAGAATCCCATTCACCGCAACCGCTCCCTTAACCGTTTAAAAGAAATTCATTCCCGGCGTGGTAAATTCCTTCCCCTAACAAACACCGCGAAATAAGTGTTTCCACCTTAACTCTTCTTCAACAAGTAGCTGGGTGTGGTTACCAGTCGGTAACGTACGAGTGACTGTCTGCTCGACGGGCGGTCGGGTGAGCGAGCGCGGGGGGTGGGGTGGGGTTGTGCTTGCTTGTGTATTTAATTTCCGACGAAACGAATCGGATCGGTAGTCGGCCGAGTGGATCGGGAGAAGAGGAACGAAGAAGAACCGAAGGGAACAGGCTGCTGCTGGTTCTGCGATGGAGTGGGGGGATCGAAGAAGAGACCGTGGGTAGCGAAGAAAAAGTTGCACAATCGCTTTCGAGAGAGCTTCGAATCCAGCCTCTCTCGCAACAGCTTTCAGCATTGGTTATTCACATGTATACGTTTCTCTATCTCAATTTATAATGCGGCGAGCGTGTACCCGGCGATTCGGACGAGATCTCCGCGAGCGGAAAATGGTTTTTCTGACTGCGAGAGGATGGTTGGAGGAGGGTGGCTGGATGGTGGAAAGCTTGAGACGCGGTGTAGACTTACACCGGGTACCCGTTTTGACGGATCGATCATGCGGTTGCGCTGAAATTTGTATTCCTTCGCGGGATGCGTTTTATTGGAACGTTCGGTTGACTGGTTAGGTCTTCCTTATTCTTTTGTTTCGTCGTTTCGTTGTTTTGCGGCAGTTCTTCGGGGAGTAGAGACGAGGCACGCGCGAAATTGATTTTTCGAGTATTATCTTTGGCTCGAGTGTTAAGCTCTTGTCTTACAATAACGTGTGAGACTCGGTGAACATTTCAAATAGAATTTAACAGACATAAATATTCATTTCTTTCAATTCAAATTAAATATTATTCTTCTGGTATCAATTATTATAGTGTAGGACGAACGTAGACATAGAATGTGTACAGAATTTTTCTCCTTTTTCAGTAAATGATTACTGATGAAGTTGTTTTCACGGTTGAAAAATAAATCGTAGGGCAAGGGGTTTATGCTGTATTTCTTTCTGGACTATGATTGGTTTGAGTACTTTGTTATTAATAATTTAGCGGAAATAAGAGGAAATTCAAGTTTTAGTCTGGGTTGATGTGTGATGTGAGGTATAGCTATTGATAAGGAAATGATATGTAATTTGCATTCGAACAGATTATATTTGTTTGTTAAATTCTAGTTGAAATGTTCATCAAGAGTCTGATAAGATATTGTGGGGTAAGGGGTTAATTTGAGTGTTAACGAATAGGTTTTTTGGTGTGGACTGTTGATAAAGGGTAAATTAATATGACTGTATTATATTATTATTGTTGTTCTTGTTGTTAGTAATCATTATATTACTGTTATTATAATTATTGTTCATTATATTATTGTCAATATGATTATTATTCACTACCTTATTATCACCATAATTATTACTACTAGTATCGTTATTTTATATTACAGTCAACCGATTTATTTCCACACATCAATGAAAAGCATTATTTAACGATAATGCAATATTTTTCATTCAAATAGGTTAAATTACAAATGGCTAAGATACTAATGCTTTAAATAATTCTTTCGAAATTCATTCTGAATATTTATAAATATACCTGCAATTCCCTGGTTATCTCTAAAGAGAAATATTGTATCGATGCACATATGCAGTATATCCTCGTCGCAACGCGAAATAAACGAATCCTATCGTAATAAATAGTCACATAGAAACCTCCTCTTAAGTTTCCTTAAGAGCCAACAATAATAAAGAGAAGGATGCTCGTGCCAAATGGAAAACAATAGCAATTGGCTCGCGAGCATTCGAAAAACTCGAGTTCGCAGTGGGAAAAAGGGATTAAAAAATCTGAGAACGCGGTGCGCATCATGAAGCGCTCCATCATCTGGACGGAGAGACTAGTTCGCGCACGACCTACATTCCGCGCCGTGCCATGGGATAAAAAGAAAAAGGAAAAAGGGACGTGAACTACTTTCTCAATAGGAGAAAAAGACTCCGCGGATTCTCAAAGTGTATGCTCTCCAGAATGACGAATGGGGTAGCTAGATCATTAGCTAATCGTAGGTTCTAAGCGTGCGTGCGTGCGTGCGTGCGTGCGTGGGTGCGTGCCGAATCGTGTGTGGCATAGAATTCGCGCGGATGCCAGGTCGGTGTGCACCGGAACACGGAATTTGTGTGGGGTGAGCCCGACGCGAGGAATAATATGAGTGACAGCGTCGGATACAGATATATAGGAATTAGGAGCTGTCTCTGAATCCGATCAATGATCAGCCGTATCAAAGGTGATCGGGTCAATCACTTCACGTCGATGCTCGTGACAATGTCTGAACTCGGATTAGCCTCTTATCCGTGTGAGCTTCAGTCGAATCCATTCAGAGTTGGTAATCAGTTTTGGCTCGGCTTTTTCGTCAGTTGACCATGAGGATCGTGATTCAGGGGATTTCCTTAGTAAAGAGGATGGATGTGTTATTGAGAGTTGAAATTGAGAATGAATGGGTTCAGAGGACTCGAGAGGATATGTTTCGTGCTGATTTGAGGGGTTTTTGATCGTTTGAGTTAAAAAATTCAAGAATAGATTTAGTTTAATGGTAGGAGTAGCTATTTTATGCTTGAGGTAGCTAAATTGCTAAGTCCCGATGACTGAATAATTTTTTTTAATACGTGGAATTATTTGAATAGGCGAGAGGAACTGGACAGTTCGTTTTAGTTGGAACCTCAACAGAGTACAGTGAAGACGTTTTTTAGTTCTCTGACTCAAGGTTAACCGAGACCTAACCTATCTGATTTGGACATGGTCCAGACCTAGCCTAGGGCAAGTTTTGTATTCATGACTGACTTGGAGTTGGTCCATACTCAGAGTTAGATTTAGGTAGCTGTAGATGCCAAGCTAGTCCACAACTTTATTAGACCCAGACTACTTGAATAATTTATTCTAACCTCACCTCATGATTAACTGGCACTTAGACCAAGTTCCTAGACCCAAGAAATAACTCAAACTTAACCTATAACAAGACGAAATAGCAGAAGCCTCTACCTCAATCTTCAAGAAAATAGAGAACCTCTCTTCCCATTTCAATTCTCCAAATTCCACCACAGTACAGAGCAAAGTAGACCTAACCTCCAAAACGTTACACTACCAGAAGTCTCCAAATTTCCAAGTTTCCAAATAACCTGGAATAAAACGCATAACCTCTTCTCACATTCCAACTCTCTGCATCCACCTACCAAATAGACCATCTAGCAAAGACTAAGAATACGATCATCTTCATCTATCACCTAACCTACAAAAAGACTAAATCCAGAAACCTCTGCCTCAAGCTCCAAGTACCCAAACAATCTCTAACAAAATACAACCTCTCTTCTCATTCCAGTTCTCCAAATTCCTCCACATCACAGAGCAAAGTAGACCTAACCTCCAAAACGCTGAACCACCAGAAGTCTCATAAGTTCCAAGTCTTCAAACAACCTGGAATAAAACACATAACCTCTTCTCACATTCCAACTCTCTGCATCCACCTACCAAATAGACCATCTAGCAAAGACTAAGAAAACGGTCATCTTGATCTATCATGCCTTTACCCGCAGCTCGCCGCACTCGCGCCGCGAGTCCCCGATCCGAATCTCATACGACACATTCGCCCGGCACGTATCAGACGAGCCCGCCCCGACCCAACCTTGTTGACTTCCACTCGCATCCCGCGCAACCCCTGTGACTGTAATATTACCTGATCCCGGGTGCCCGGTTACGGGTACCTACCGGTGTAATATTCATTTCCTCCAGTAAAAGCCCTTTCAACGGCTCTTTCGGGCTCGGATATCGGAAAAACGAGGCATTTCCGTTGGTAAATGTCACGGAGATAGGCGGACGGCCAGTGACCACATATTACCAATCAATTTGCCTCTGTCGATACTGAGAGACGCGGGCAGATAGAGAGAGAGAGAGAGGGATAGAGAGTGAGAGAGAGGGAGGGAGAGAGAGATAGAGAGAGAGAGACAGATAGAGAGAGAGGAAGCTGTAGGAGAGAGTCAGCCAGCCGGGGGTGTATGAAATCGACTGTGAGGCAGCTAGAAAAGGGGTTGACAGAGACGCGGACATAGGCGTGGCTAGGTGTGCGTATGGAAAAGTGGCCGCTCCATCATATTTAACTCAGATAGCCAATCACCCTTGTCACTGCTCGGGTGATAGATTATTTTAATCAAGTTATTTCCGCCTGAAACCCAATCATTCTCCCCGGATCGAAGGGGTTCGGGGGTGGCGGTAGACGTTGGAGGACGTGTAGGGCCCGGGGTATACATAAAAATCGAATTAACCGTGTAGGGGGTTGGCGGGCGGGGGAGAGGTGTACTAGACTAAATGGAGCCTTAACCTGAAAATCTGTCGGTGCGTGGTCCAAGCTTTTTCAATAATTCCCCGGGCTAAGTGGAAATTGGTAATTTCGCTCTCTTCGATAATCCATTTTTTAATGGCTCTGACGAGCGATTGATTCGTCTGGCGGGCCGAAATCTTCTACCGGCCGGGGGTGGGCGGCGTGGGGGTTGGTTTTGTTGCTCCGCTCGTTCCTAGCCAACGGGAACGTGATTTACGGGGTGCCGCGGACCTGACGTGTTTTAATATTCGACAGGATGAAGGGTAGATTGAAAAAGTTTGGGAAATCGACTAGTCCGCCGCGGGTCGCGCTGTCCGCTGGACGGTATCCCTCGCGCGGCGCTGGTGACGTATATCTACGTCGGCTCGGTGATACCTTGCGCTGCGGTTTCTGTCGGGTCCTTTCGCTGATGGTGGTGGATTGGTCTAAATAGCTTGCTGTTCGTTTCTTCTGTGATTCTTGGGAAAGTGAAATTCTGTTTTTGTAAATAAACAAAAATTGTTTGAATTAATGGGGCATTGGAGGAATTAATAGATGAAACTTTGGATTGTTGATCGAGAAGTAATAGACGTGAATCTTCGTATAAATCGGTTATTTTGAAGGGGTGAAAACTACCCCCAGTGTCGACGAATATGACACTGAAATATATTATTACGTATATCTTAGAAAATAGTAAAGATAGAACAAAACTATAGACTAAAATTGTGCAGATTAATAAGGAATCTAGTGTAAACAAATTTCACGGAACTTCTGTTTAAATAATATATTAACAAATAACCTCCTTCCCAGATTTCAGCTACATCTACACTTATCTACATCTATACTTTACAAATAAATATATTCATATACTTTATCCATTTCCATTCGAATAATAATCTAATTTATAAAACCACCCCCGAATTACAATCCAATTATAAAATCACATTCCAATTATAATCTATTATA